GAGTTCGTTAAAATTTCCTATGTGGGATCAGCTCGGGTGTGCAGGCAGTCGATCTCCAAGTGTGTGATGTAGGCTCTCACCCCCAGTCCTAGAGAGGCATGGGTGATTGGTGCAGGCACTGGACTCTGGCTATGGTAGGGGATCACGTGCTGAGCCAGGCAGGGGGCCGACAGCTGCCCCTGAGAGTCTGAAAGAAAAGCATGTCCCTATTCTCTAGGGTGAATAGGTAGGTGAGTTTTGCAGCTGGGCTAAGAGCACCCCACTCTGTTGGCTGCAAATACTCAAGGGCACCACTTTTTCTTGAACTGCTGAAGCAGGTGACTAGGCACTTTAGGAACTATCACCAGTCCTCAAGACCCTGCCGCAGATTGATAAAAGTGCCTAGTTGAGGGGCAGGGCTGTTTCGAGGATCACAAATCTGCCCGTTCACAGCTAAGCAGTTGAAGTTAAACTTCAGATGTTTGCCCTGTTGTACTGTGGTAGTGAGGGCTAACGCTGTTGAGATGGGTCCCCACAAGTCTATACAGGAGTGTATGGCACTCAGAGTCTGCAGACCCCTGATTTCTATGGCCAGCAAAGGAGTTGTGCCAACCCTGTGTTCCTGGCCTAGGGGAGCCAGCAGCTTATTTGTTCCCTCTCCAAAGCCAGGAGAATGGGTCAGGGCACCTTTTGGGATCTATTTCTGGCCCAGTAGACTCCCAGTGCAGAGGTGGGAGGGAAGCGGTAAAAGGAAGACAGGTTTTTCCCAAATCCGGTGGAGAGCGCGGAGACAGGAGGTAAAAGGGAGAGAGGTTTTTCCCAAATCCAGTGCAGATGCAGGGTGCAGAGGTAGGAGGTAAAAGGGAGAGAGGTTTTTCCCAAATGGGCTTTTTTTTTTTTTTTAACTCACCGTGAAAGGGTGTGCACATGTACTTATCCTAAACTCTTGGGAGCTGCTCTTCACTGGTTCGGAGTGTCCAAGCAGAATCTCTGCTGCCGGGTGTCTCTGGATGTGGAAACTGCTTCTCGAGCGCGTGCACAGCACAGCTGTTTGCTTGCTTCACCGCAGCCCAGCGTGGCTCTGTCTCTGCTGTGTTGCTGCCGCAGCTCTAGCGCTCCTCACCTCTTCCAAATGGTCTTCCTCTCTGGTATGACTCAGATGGATTTCTTAACCTTGCCTTGTTCAGGGCTGCCAGATGTTCACATAGAATCAAATCACTTGTTTTTCCAGGTCTTTGTTGTAAGAGGGATATAGGAAGAGTCTAACTAGTCCGCCATGTTGACCATGCCTCCATGCTGGCACTTTTTGAGACCTGCCAAATCTGAACCTCCAGTACACTTTTCAAGCTTTCACTCTTAGTATACCAATAGAGATTCTACCTAGGTCCTGCTCCTAGAACTTCCATCTCAAGGTAGGGCCCTCTCCTTCTAAACAAGAATGTATGCTGGAAATATTTGAAATCTGTCAACACTGGGGCCCTCTTCATATTTCCTGTTCTTCTTTGTAGCATCTTTGTAACTCTCCAAGCTGGCTTCCACTTCTGCCTCAATTTTGGCAACACTTATATGCAATTTCAATTTTGTCAATTTTTCAGTTTTCTTTGGTTTCATAATTTTACTGAAACTGTGGTGTATACATGTGTGTGTTGTGGTCGTTGGTTTGTCTGGTTACCAGGATAAATGAGAAGATTCAGAATGAAACATCAAATATTATTATCATCTCTCTTATCTCATTGCTGGGAACATTTGTTTGATTGTCTCACGTGAACTTTAAATATGTCATAGTCAATGTTGTACTGATCGTCTTCAATCTTAGCTTGCTCTTCTTGAATTTCCTGTCTCAGTTAATGGATTTATTCAGCTCCCTAAAATAGAAATCTGGACATGATGCTAGATTTCTCAATATTCTATAATATCCACATCTAAATAACAATCCTTGCCCTTTTTTCCTTACTAAATATTTCTCAAATATGTTGTCACCTCTGTCTCTAAATACCACTACTAAATTTTAAAATGGTCTCCTAAGTGCTTTGCTTTTTCTCCAGTTTTTCCCCTCAGCTCCATCTTCCACACTGTCTTCAAAGAACTCTATCTAAAATGCATATCTGATCATTTTTACTCCTGAGGTTTACAGCCTTCAACCGCTCTTGGATGTACACAGAATGATATCTTTCAGATTAACATGACAAAGAGGGCCTCACATAATCAGGCCCCGACCTAGCCAAAATCTCTTTGCCCCATTCACCATCATGCAAGTCCTGTCATAACATACTCCTTGCCAAGATATTTCACACATTTTTGCCTCTACTTTCATTGCTTACTCTTCCTATTAAGACTTTGTACCCAGTCTTCATGCATAATGAGAAATCACTTATCTTCATAATCCATTTCAAGTTTCACCTTCTATAAGCATCACCACATACTGAAATTGCCATTTTCCCTACTTTATTCCCCAGTCACCCTATACAGACTTTAATCAAGGCAGCTCTAAGAATTCACTGCACTTCTTTTATGTATTTGTCTCTCCCTATTAAACTCTAGAAACTTAAGGGAAAGGTATATATAGCTACAGTGCCAGACACGGATGAATAAATAAAAAAGCCACTTCACTGTATTGATCCAAGTTATATCTTGCCATCTAAATTGCAAGTCCTTTGAAGGCAGAGACCACATGTTCCCAAACCAGATTTTTTTTTTCATATATTTGATCATGTTTTCTAATCTGCTTTCCTAGGGGATAACAAATTACCCCTCATGATTTAAGTTTTACGTTAGCCCTTGAAAAAATTAATTTTAAATGAATCTACACATTTTGTGCAAATAAATAAATTAAAAAAGAGAGAATTAAATGTTGCATGAATTTTGACAAGATAACAATTTTTCCATAGAGCATTTGCTACCATGAAATGCAGGATAAATCATATAATATTTTAAAATATTCCTATAATTAGCTTTCTTATCTAATAAATTAATAGTAGTTATGAAAAATACATACATACCGGAGAATGGCCACAATGCCTGGTATACCAGAAAAACCAGCAAATACAATTGTCGAAAAGATAAAAGAAATAAACAAAGGTAATGTATAGCACTTTGCATCACATTTCCCAGATTCAGCATCATTAAAATCACCTTGATCATCTTGAGTTGATAATCCTTTTGTAATGCAAGCACAATTGTAGTAGAGCTACGAATATTGAAGACAGGAAACAATCTTTCAGAAATACAGTCATGAAGCAAAAACTTTCATTATTGCAAAATAAAAATTAAATCAATAACTATACAAAGCTTGACCATTTTTATTAATAAATATCCTTACATTAAAACTGCCATTTCTTATTTAGAAATGACACAATAATGATAAATCCAAGGTATTTTATCTGTCAGACAATTATTGTTGGTGTGTGTAATTATATATACTTAGGAAAAGCTTTGTTAATTTGAGAAATTTCCCCAAAAATATTTATATTCAATTTCATAAGTATTTGCTCAACAATTATATAAATTGAGAGTAATTAAGGAAAAAGTAACAAATTAAATAGAATTTTAGCTGGGACTTGAAATGTGGAGAGTTACCCAATTGTGGAAAACTTTGGATCTAGGCTGAAGAGACAAGATTTTATTTTGTAGGTAATGGTAACAGGGCTGAGTTATCTATTAGGCATAGTAGTGCATACCTCTATGGGGAGCCATAAATTTTTATGTGAAACTAATGAAAATTTGGAGTTTTTATCGTAGGGTTGATAATTCAAGGAAGATGAATCTGGTCATATTTTGTAAGAAGAACTAAACAGAATTTGGAGGTACAGAGAAGAGTTAGTAATTTATTAATCTACGGAGAAGATTCTTAAGTGCAAAATAATAGTAATAATCACAAAATCAACAAAAACATGAAACTAGACTATTAATGAAGGAATAAGAATGATCAAACATGATTTGAATCGAGTTATTCAGAAAATGATGGTTCAAAACTTGTGTCAGTTTGGGTGAGCAAGTTGCTAAGTGGTTCCTGGATATGTTGAATGCAAGAAATATCCAACTATATTAGTAATTAATAGTCTGGGGAGTGAAGGTTGAATATGGATATAAAAATGTGGAAGAGGCGACATCAAGACAATGGATAAATTTTCAAAAGAAGGAAATATAGACAAAAAAGCAAATAAGCCTGTGCACTGAGAACAGGAAATATGCATACTTTTAAAAAAGAAAGAGAAACCAGGCAAAGGAATTCAGAGAGAACTATAAGAAATGAGTGGTAATGTAATAAAAGACTCAGAAGAAGAGTATTTTTATAAAACAGGGTTTATATAGCAGAGTTAAATGCCAGACCAACAAATAAGCAAACAAAAAAATCTCTAAGCAACTTAGGATTTAGAAGAGATTCCTGGTTTAATAATAAATAGGGGGTCCTCTGGTCAGTTCTGAAGCATCAGTTTTAATAGAATAGTAGGAATGAAAACTATATTTTAAGAGGTTAAGGGGCTGAATAGTAAGAAATTGCAGGAAATTTAGCAATGAAATAGAAAAGAAATTACAATTAATTCATTCCAGAATATATTTTTAGTGCCTATGTGCCAAACACCATTTCAGGTGTTGAAAAACTCAGTGAACAATACAACAGAAATCCCTGTCCTGATGTAGAAAACTTTCTACTTGGGGGACACAGGCAATAAAAGATGTTATAATGTAGCATATGGTGCCAAACAGTATGGAGGAAAAAAAAAAATAAAGCAGAGAAAAAAGAGAGTGTTTGTATATGTCTGTACTTAGTGAGGTCAGGGAATGTCTCAATAATGATGTGATATTTAAGCAGAGATCTGAAGAAGGTAAGGCAGTGAGCCATGTGGTTATGTGGAAGAAGAGTGTTCCAGGTATATCAACAATTACATTAAATACTAGAGGCCTAAACACTCCAATTAAAAGGCAGAAATAGAATAGGATAAAAAGCACAATTATCTTATAACTTGGCTGCAGGAGATACTTTTAAAAACTGGAAAATAAATGAATAGAAATAGATATATCATGCAAGCAGTCAGCAAAAGAAAGCAGGAATGGCTACTTAATATTATATAAAATAGACCTCAAGTAAAAGAGCACTGCCAGAGATTGAGAGGAACTTTTTAAAATGATAAAAGAGATAATTTGTCAATAACATGTGACAATATCAATGTGTATGCACATAATAACAGAACCCGAAAATACATGAAGCAAAAATTGGCAACAATGAAGGGAGAAATAGACAATTACATAATCATATTAGGAGATTTTTATCATACACAATGTTCAGCATTTAATCCAACAATACCAGGTATGCAAAGTGACAAAAGAAACTGTTTTAAAACTATGAAAGAATCTAACAATATGAATAGACTCATGGGTGATCTAGATAGTGAAGTTAGTAGCAAGAATTTTTGAATAGCTATGATTGATATAGTCTATAAAATAGAGAGAAAGATGGATAAAATTACTTAAATTATGTAGAATTTCACTAGGAAACTGGATACTGTCAAAACACAAATGCTAGAACTGAAAAATAAGAGAGAAATTAGAACCTCAGTAATGGGTCTAACAGCAGAGTGGGATACTATATAATACAGGATTAGTAATTGGAATATAGGTCAATAGAAAAAAAATACATTTAAATGAACAGAAAAAAGGAGATGGGAAACACAGAAAAGAGTGAAAGAGAATATAGGGGCACAGTGAAAAGGTCATTAGTAGTCTATGATAGGCAGATTCTAAAATAGCCCCCAAGACCCCCTTCTCTTATTGTACCAAAAACAAACGAACTCGTTGCCATCGAGTCAATTCCAACTCATAGCAACCCTATAGAACACAGTAAAACTGCCCGATAGGGTTTCCAAGGAGCAGCTGGTGGATTTGAACTGCTGACCTTTTGGTTAGCAGCCCTGCTCTTAACCACTGAGCCACCAGGGCTCCCCCTATTGTACATAGCCTGCATAATCCCTAGGACTGTGAATCGATGGATTTTACTCCTATGATTAAGTTCTGCTATACTGTACAGTCGACTTTAAGAAAAAAAGATTATTGTGGGTAAACCTCACCTAACTATGTGAACCCTGAAGTCAGAGATTAGAAGCATGAGAAGGATTCAACTTAAGGGAGAGTCTTTGCTGCTAGCTCTGAAGATGAAGGGGTCCACATAACGAAGAATGTAAGTGGCATCTAAGAGCTGAAAACACTCCCAGCAAGAATAGTCATCCACTGCTTTAAAACCATAAAGTTGAGATGATATAATGATCTAATGATATAATGTTCTAACGTAGGAGTATCTCTTCTTTTTCACTCCCAGTTCTGATAAGCTTGTTGTACTATGGCAACATAAAACAAAAGTATTATTTTTGTTTGTTTTGTCTTTAAATAAAAGAAGTAAAATAAGAAAAAGAAAAGCTTATGTAGAGAGCTAGGGATAAAACTTAAATACCATCTACAAATTGAACATATTACTGGAGAAGAAAAAACATAATTTTTAAAAATTACCCTTTCAGAGTCAAATATTTTTGCATCTGTACAGCCTGCAAAGCAGGGAGAGAAATATTCAACATTGTCTCTTCCACATATACTAGAATAAAATGAAGATGAGCATTCACACTGAGAATTACAAGGAGCTGTCAGGTTTCCCAACTGCCCTGTGCTGTAAAAAACAGATTAAATGTAATCATAGTTTTATTCTTTTATATTTATATATATGTCAAGATATCAATGAGATACATAAAATGTGCTTATTGAAGTAATTTCTTTTTTTTTTCCTTGGCTTTGTTGTTATTGTTGAGAATATACACAGCAGAACATAAACCAATTCAACTATTTCTATATGTACAATTTAGTAACATTTATTACATTCTTCAGGTTCATTCTTTACAACCATTTTCACTCACCTTTTCCAAATTGTTCCTCCCTTATTAACATAAACTGCTTATGTACAACCAAGCACCTCACAGGATTTGGTTTCTTGGTTTGGATGTTTAGGGTCATGGTTTCATGGAACATTCCAATTAATTGGTCCAATAACCTGTTTAGTAACTTCGTTCTATCTCCTAGTTCATTGTTTAGTGCCTGGAGTCTTAGAAGCTTGCAAATGGCCATCCAAGTACAACAGCTGGTCTATATTTGTTTGGAACAACAGAGGAAGAAGGAGAATCAGGAACAAGAGGAAAAAACTGAATGTGTGGTTAACTGCCTCCATGAGAATCTGCCTCCTTTGCCATGAGACCAGAAGAACTGGATGATGCCCAGGTATCATTATGGAGCATTTTGATCAAAGATTCTATAGCAGAATCTTGATCAAAAGGGGGAAAATATAGAACAGAATTTTAAATTCTCATGGAATCCAGACTTCTGGAGCCGTGGAGGTTTGATGAACTCCCAGAACTATTGCCTTGAGATAATCTTTAAGCTTTCAAGCAAAAATATCCCTTGAAGTCTTCCTAAAATCAAACAATAGTTTAGCTTAACTAGTAAAGAATGTCTGTCTTAAACATTGTGCCTTTTAAGAACTATCTAAATGGAATTAAATTGACAATAGCAACTGGAAAGATTAGATAGGAAACTTAGGGGGCAGAGAGTTTATGGAATAATTTCTTTTAAAAGCTTTATTGAAGTTTTACTGATGTACAATAAACTGCATATATTGGATGTGTACAATTTGAAAATTCTTGGTCTACATGCACACTGTCAATCAGTAAAATGAACATAATCATTGTCGCTCAAAGTTTCCTCATGCCCTCTTTTAAATAATCCACTACCTGGCATATACTGATCAACTTTGTCACTGTTCATTAATTTGAATTTTCTAGCATTTTTTGAAAATTGTATCATTCTTTGTCTGGTTTCTTTCACACAGCTAGTCTTTGCATAGTCTTAGTGTGGTTGTCTGAATTATCTAGTGCTGCTAAAACAGAAATACCACAAGTGGATGACTTTAACAAAGAGAAATTTATTCTCTCACAGTCTAGTAGGCTACAAGTCCAAATTCAGGACATTAGCTCCAAGGGAAGGATTTCTCTGTCAGCTCTGGAGGAAGGTCCATGTCATCAATCTTCCCTTAGTCTGGGAGCATCTCAGCACAAGAACCTCAGATCCAAAGGCCACACTCTGCTCCCAGTGCTGCTTTCTTGGGGGTATGAAGTCCCCAACTCTCTGCTTGCTTCCCTTTCCTTTTATCTCTTGTAAGATAAAAGGTGGTGCAGGCCACACCCCAGGGAAACTCCCTTTACACTGGATCAGGGATGCGACCTTAGTAAGGGTGTTACAATCCCACCCTAATCCTCTTTAACATAAAATTACAATCACAAAATGGAGGACAACCACACAATACTGGGAATCATGGCCCAGCTAAATTGATACACACATTTTTAGGGGGGACATAATTCAATCCATGACAGTGGTCATATGCTTCCACTTGTCTTGGGTAAATATCAAGAAGTAAAATTTTTGTATCACATGGTAGTTGTTCATTTAACTTTTTAGGAAACTGTCAGTTTTCCAACATGTCTGTGCTATTTTACATTCCAACTAGCAGTGTATCAGAGTTCCAGTTGCTCCACATTTCTTGCCAACACTTAGTTTGTTTGATGTTTTTACTTTTAGACATTCTAACAGGGGTATAGTGGTTTCATATTTTGGTTTTTACTATGCATTTGTCTAATGATTAATAATGCTGAACATTTTTCCATGTGTGTAACTGTCATTTATATATATTATTTAGTGAAGTGTCTTTTCAAGTATCTTGCCATTTTTAGTTGAGTTGTTTTCTTATTAAGTTTTGAAAGTTTTTATATATCATCAGGAAACATGTCCTTTACTAAAGATATGATTTTTAAATATCTTCTCCAAATCTATGGCTTGTTCTTTCATTCTTTTTACAGCATATTCCAAAGAGTAGAAGTTTTTAGTTTTGATGAAGACAAATTTATCAAATTATTTCCTTTTGTATCATTCATGTAGTGTCACAGCCAAGAAAACTTCACTTAACTTGAGGTCACAAATATTTTCTCCTATATTCTTAGAGTTTTATATTTCACACTTTCATCTGTGATCAATTTTGAGTTAATTTTCGTATATGATGCAAGATATGAATAAAATTTCATTTGTTTGCATATGAATATCTCATTGTTCCAGCACCATTTGTTTAAATGACTATGTTCTTGTCTTAGTTACCTAGTGCTGCCATGACAAAAAATACGACAACTGGGTGGCTTTAAAGAACAAAAATTTATTTTCTCACATTTATGGAGGCTAAAAGTCCAAGCCAGGGTCTCGGTTTTGTCAATTCCTTCTACGGGCTTCTCTCCTAGTTTCTGATGTCTGCCAGCAATCCTCAGCATTCCTTTGTTTGCAGAAGGATCCTTACACAGAACTGTGTTCCCTCTCTTTATTTCTGTGTCTATTCTGCTTTTTTTTATAAGACACCACTCAGAATTCATTAGGTGTAGGACAGATCCTACTCTGGCACGACCTCATCAACATAACAACAACAACAACAACAAAATCCCTATTTCCAAACAGGGTCATAATTACAGGTACAGAGGTTAGGATTTTCACATATATTTTTGGGGGAAATAACTCAGTCTGTAACAGTTCTCCACTAAACTGCATATGTGCCCTGTCAAATCAATTATTTCTATATGTATGGGTCTATTTCTGAACTTTATATTCTGTTCTACTGATCTATTTGTCTACATTTACAGCAATACCACACTTTCTTGATTAGTGTAGTTTTACAAGATTTGAAAATCAAATAGTCCTCTACTTTTGTTTTTTTTCTTCAGAATTGTTTTGGTTTTTCTAGGTCCTTTGCATTTCCATATGAATTTTAAAATTATTATGTGTACTTTCTAAAAAGTAAAGTCAGCTTGGATTTTGATTGTTATTGCATTGAATACATACATTAGTTGGGGCAGAAATGACATCTTAACAATATTGAGTCTTTCAACCCATAAACAGAGGATATTTCTCCATTTATTTAAGGCTTCTTTCTCTCAGCAATGTTTTGTACTAATCAGTGTACAGATCTTTCACATCTGTTGCCAGATATATTCATAAGTATTGCTTTTTCCTGATACTATTGCTAATGATGTTTTTGTTTGGTATTAATTTCTAGTTGTTTGTAGGTAGTATATAGAAATACCATATTCTTGTATATGGATCTTGTATCCTGCAACCTTGCTAAATTCATTTTATCAGTTCCAGTGGCCTTTTGGTAGATTCTATCACAATTTCTACACAGACAATCATGTCCTCTTCAAATAAACACAGTTTTACTTATTTTAGTGTATGGATGTTTTCCCTTGCTTTTTCTTATATTATTGTAATAGTTAGAATCTCCAGTACAATTTTGCATGGAAGTATTGAAAGGAAACATCTTTGTATTGCTCCTGAGCACTCAGCTTTTCATCACTAAGTATGATGTTAGCTGTAGGTTTTCATAGATGCCCTCATCAGGTTGAGGAAGTTCCCTTTTATTCCTAGTTTCCTAGCTTATCAGAAATGGATCGGAATTTTATCAAATGATTTTTATGCATCTATTGAGATTATATGTTTTTATATGTATATGTATGTTTGTAAATTTTTACATGTATATGTGTTGTATGCTTTTTTTTCCTCTTTAGTTTGTTGACATAGTGGATTACATTGATTTTTATTGCATTTGTGTGATAAACTTCACTGTATCATGGCTTATTTTCCTTTTATATACTATTGGATTCATTTTCTTAAAATTTAGTTAAGAATTTTTGTATCTATGCTCACGAAGGATATAGGTCTGTAGTTTTCTTGTAACACTTTAGTCTGGTTTCACTATCAGGATAATACAGATTTCATATGAATTGAGAAGTATCACTTCTTTCGAATTTCCTGGAAAAATTTGTGAAGAATCAGAATTAGTTATTTTACATGTTTGGTAAAATTCCCCAGTGAAGTCATCTGGGCCTGGGTTTTGTGGGAATGTGTTTAACTACAAATTTAATTTAATAGATATGGATTATCTGTTTCTTTTTAAGTGCGTTTGTATCTTTGAATGGATTTATCCATTTCACTGAAGTTATCAAATATACTGGCATAAAGTTGTTTATAGTACTTTCCTATTATTCTTTTAATATTGGTACAATTTACAGTGACATCACACCTCTAATTCCTGATATTGGTAGTTTTTTCTCTCTCTTTCCTCTCACTCTCTCTTCTCTCTCTCTTTTTATCTGTTCAGTCTAGTTAGAGGTTTAGCAATTTTATCTATCTTTTCAAAATACAGCTTGTGCATTTATTTATTTTCTCTATTTTCACATTTCCTACTTCACTGATTGCTACTCTGTTATTAATGGTTTCCTTTATTCTACTTAGAGCCCTGGTAGTGCAATGGTTAAGAGCTCAGCTGCTAACCAAAAGGCTGTCAGTTTGAATTCACCAGCCACTCCTTGAAAACCCTATGGGGCAGTTCTACTCTGTCCTATAGGGTCGCTATGAGTTGGAATCAACTTGACAACAACGGGTTTTATTATTTTTTTTATTCTACTTACTTTGGGATTAATATGCTTTGATGTTTCTAGTTTTTTAAGATAGAAGCAGATGTCACTGAAACACAGAAAGCAAATAAAACCTTTCTTATTTTCTAATATACACTTTTACTGCTATAGATTT